TAACCATTAGCTAACATGCAACCATCCATTTTCTTATGCCATGCACGAGCTATCTGTTTGAGACCATATATAGCTTTGTTCAATTTTAAAACCTTATTATTTGTACAGACATAACCTAAAGGCTTTTGCATATATATTATCTCAGATAGATCTCCATTTAAGAAAGCAGTTTTCACATCGAGATGTGTTACTTCTTGGTTCAACTGCACTGATAATGCGAATAATAACCTAAGTGTTGTATGCCGTACTACTGGAGAAAATGTTTCACTATAGTTCACACCGTATTTTTGACTACACCCTTTAGCCACAAGTCTGGCTCGATTGCAGACATTGTTTTCATTATCACACTTTTATTTTTAGAACCCACTTGCTCTTAACTATATTGCCACTTGCAGCAATATCAACAACTTCCCACGCTTTGTTGTCCTCGAAGCTTTTCAGCTCTTCTTTCACTGCCTTTTCCCATTGCTCCTTCTCTGGTCCTCTTAGTGCTTCTTCTAATGTCAGTTCATCACTAAAATATTCATTACACTTTTCTGTGCATATATATCCAAACCTTTCTGGTTTTTGTCTCACCCGTTGTGGTTTTGATGTAGTTTCTGGTTGCTGCTCTTCCTCAGATGTCATGGACTCCTCCTCTGGTACATAGGTTTCATCCATGTCATTCGTCGAAATGAATGAATCCTCTCCATCTTGGTCTGACACCTCTACCACTGAAGATGTATGTGGACTATTTTCTGCTGGTTTGTCTTCTATCACTTCCATTTCAATCATATTTTCTTGATGAGATAACTTTTCATTTATGAAGACAACATCTCGACTGATTATAATAGCCTTTGTTGAAGGATTGTATAACCTATACCCTTTGACATCCTCAGGGTAACCAACTAGTATACATTGTTCTGATTTCTTGTCCCACTTACGTCTTCTCTGCTTGGGTATATGTCTCATGATAGTACTACCAAAAAACCTTAAATGACTGAGGTCGGGTTTGCCTCCTGCCCACAACTCGCACGGTGTACAGCGGTTCGATCCACTTTTTACAATTCTATTTTGTAAATAGACTGCTGTGTTAATGGCTTCAGCCCAAAATTCCTTGCCTAGTCTTGCATCAAAAAAAGGCATCTTGCTTTCTCAATCAGAGTCCTATTCATACGTTCACAAAGCCCGTTTTGCTCAGGAGTGTAGGGATTTGTTATTTGATGAATTATACCCATTTTCTTCAAATACATATATCACTGTGTACTATTTCCACTAGCTTAGTACTCCTGTTCCCTTTACTATCGAAGGGCAACCGACTTTGCTTTCCTTCACAGCACACTATACAGTTTTCTCTTTTTTTTTTTTTTTTTTTTTTTTTTTTTTTTTTTATTTTTTTTTGTTTTTTTTTTTTTTTTTTTTTTTTTTTTTGTTGTTTTGTTTTTTTTTTTTTTTTTCTTTTTTGGTTGTCACCCGATTGGGTAAGGTTTAAGCCGGGGGGGGGGGGGTGGGTGGGGGGGGGGGGGTTTCGCCCTTTTCTTTTCCTCCTTTTGTTGTTTTTTTTTTTTTAGGTGGCCGGGTTCGTGTGGCGGGGGGGGGTCGGGTTGGGGGGTTGGTGGGTCTATTCGCTCGCTTCGCTCGCTCACTCGACCTCGTCATCCTCTTCTAACCTAACCTGTCCGAGTCGGGGTGCTCCACGTCCCAGGCTCACTTCGCTCGCTATTGTACTCGATATAACACCAAAATATTAACTTTTATAACTACTTTAATTTATAAATACAATTTATGGCTGCCACCATTTCTAAGAAAGGATCTTTGCGATATTTAGAAGTATTCTGCCGCCACAAATATTTCACTATTCACCAAAATTCTGAAACTCGGAAGCAACGGCATGAAGAAAAGCTGTCAACAAAATGGCCGGCATAGCGATTAATTTTACATATTTATAAATCGATTCAAATCGAAATTGGATGAATCGATTCACAAAAAATCGAAATCTTAAAGATCGATTTCGCAAAAATCTATCTTTTTTTGATTTGCGTTAAAATTTTATATTGACAATATCAAAAGATACAATAAAGTACAGATAACATTGAATGATTGAATTAAAAACTGTCATTCTTTATGAGTTGGGGTACATTCAACTAATTGTAAATAATTTTACAAATCTTAATAAAACAGAAAAAGATTAGATCTCGATTCTTTAGGGTGAAATATCGATTCATTAGATCGATTCAGTACTATATATCGATATGACATTGACAGATGTAACGTCGAAAACATAATTACCATTATTTTTAAAAAATACTTCGACGCTGCTCTGGCACAAAAAATCGAGTGGGGGTGCTTCAGATAAACCCCCTTGACTCCCCCACAGTGTCAAAATCTTCAAATTCAGGCGACCGAATTGTAAACCCAACCCCATGATTTCCTTGGTTAACCCAGAATAACATTCGTCGACCATCCAATCTTTATTGCTTGTCAAATGCGAACTTGCGCCAGAGTCGACATACCAGTCACTCTTGTCAAATATTCTGCTAAAAACACGGCACTGAATGCATTACTTGTTTATGACGATTTATTTTCAGAATTCTTGTAAGATTTATCTTTATTAGTGCATTGATTACGGTAGTGGCCATATTGTTTACAATTATAACATTTGATGTTTTGTTTTTCTTTGACAGATGTCGACATTCGTTCATTACCACCATCTTTCTTGACCATAGACCGTGTACATGTATAGATGAAGATATAATAATAAGTTTGCTTTAATGATTGTTTATTAAAATATGTTCGACATCGGCTCGGTATGGCGAGCGTATGTTGCATCGCCTTTGTAGGGACCAATCAACATTAAGGCCGTAATGAGAATTTATTTAAAACAAATGTAATTTTATTGATATAAAAGTTATTTTCTTACATAATTTATTTAGCCTTGAACAAATTTACAAAAACAAAACAACTTTTACAAGGAAGATTAGCTATAATATATCTTGATGTCGCCGCCATTTGCTGGATTATCTGTCTTTTAAGTTCGCGCCATATTGGCGGGATGAATGTCACGTCTGCTTAAAGTTGTCTTCGGCCAACTTTCTTGATTATCCACACGTGGTGCGAATATCGGAAAATAGGCGCTTCTTTTCCACTTTTGCGTATGAGAGTAGTTGTGTTATGATCGTAAATGATAGTATGCGTATCATACGCATACTGGTATATTAATAATGTAAATATGTATTTTAGTGTATAACAATTCAAAACTGTATTGTTCAATTTAAAGGAATGATAATGAATTAAAAAAAACCTCATACGAATTATACAAATGTAGACGAAGACTTTTTTTAAGAAATTAATTAAAGGTTAAAAAACTAAAACAACACGCATTAATCATGAGCTTTCATAATCTTAGACCTTAGTGATAATACGAGGTCACAGCCATAAAAATTATGTTAATTACGAGTATGTTGTGTTTATTTTATCTTGATTATCCTGTTCAGGATACTAGGATAAAGTTATTAAATTATTGTATTATCGTTAGTCCGTGATACGAGTCCAAACTTTCAAGTTAATCGGTTACAAGTTGGTCAAAATCACATTAAAAGATTCCGTTACATAGATAGATAATTAGACACGCAAAGCTAATAAAGGAGCGATAAAATAGATTTGCTATTAGAACTGTTTAAAGTGCATAGACCGTCAGTTCAATAGAGCTTCAACCCGATACTTTTTGTCGTTTGATTAGAGAGTCTACCGTCCAATCCATTTTTAAAATGTTAGTGTCACCTAACAAGGACTGGGTACATAAAAAAAAGTATGTTGTCCAATCAACGCGTTTTTGGTGTCTCTACCTACTTATATACTCACAAATAAATATAGCTACTTATTCCTCTCTGTACTCGTATTTTGTCGATAAATCAAGAGATGTTTGCTATGTCTATATTTAGTTAAGACAAAAAGGGTACATTTCATAGTATAATTTTGACGTATTTTTATGTATTTTTAACATTTCATTTTATATATTTATTCAGCTCAACCAGATAGGAATACTCTATAAATACCCCTTTATAATAATAATAATAATAATAATAATATAATTTTTGATTACTGTATAACAATGAATTTACAGAAATATATATATATATATATATATATATATATATATACTTATGAAATTTTAACATTTACTTTTATATATTTATTCAGCTCAACCAGATAAGAAAACTCTATAAATACCCCTTCGTTTTTCCGTCAAGAAATTCTGAGTAGCTGCCCGGAGTCAGGAAGTTGGCGGTGTCTCTCCCCCATGCCTCGGAAAGCACGTAAAGTCGTTGGTCCTGCGCCTGATCTCTCTCCGGTCGTATTGGTTTACCGTCCCATCGGATTATTAGAGTGAGGGAATAGAGAGTGCACCTGTGCTTGCGCATACACTTGGGCACTATAATCCTGTCCTGCGCCGATGGTTAGCCTTCGTTGAGGCAGGCCGCCGCGACCGAAATTCGGTCTGCAGGACTATATAATATATAATATATATGTCTAAATATTACATCTAAGATTATATTAGAACTTATAACTTCTAAACTAGGCCGGGTCTGTACTTAAAAGTCTTCACAAAATCACACTGAGAGACATGCTAGTCAGGCCAGTGTGTCATAAAAAATATATCTATGTTTCTGTTTTTATATCTATCTATACTGGAAGTTTTATCACTATCGGTTCAGCCATTACGAAGACTATCCCGGAGATACAGACTAACAAAGTCTTACAAATGGTTGTTGATGTTTTTATAGCATGTAAATAAGCCCCTGAGGTCGATAAAAGGCAGTTATTTTGATATTATAGTCAGGCACTTTAACTGTATATGGGTAGTTTAAAAATAACCTAAAATCATTAAAGTTCAAGTTTTAGTTTTAATATACTTGCAGTACTAGTACTAAAATGACGATTACTAAATTACATTCAAGAGGAAATCGCAAGATTAACATAAAGCTATAATTTTATCAGTTCATATCTATGCTCTTTTCTCTCTATCTTTTTAAGTCTATGCTCTTCGTTTTTCCAAGTTCTTCAGCTTCACGAATAGTGTCAGGTAAAGCATCATTTGAAATATCTGGCACCAAAAATGTTACTAACCCAGCGAACAGTGATGTCAAGCCAAATATAAGTGACGGCAAACCAAACCAGTACCGCGTCTGAAAATTTTGTTTGATTATTTTAACATTTTTATATTATTTTATTTTATTGATTTTTCGATTAAATAATAAAGGTTTGAAAGGTTAGCCAATATATAATATAATCATATAAACACAATCTGATTTAAGTTTAATCAAATCCTTCATAATTATCCTGGTCAATCCGTACGTACAGATAATATCTTACGTCGGCTCGACAGGGGCAAATCACGCTCTCAAAAAATACTAGTAGGAACGAGGACGAAAAATACTACGGGAAATAGCAGCTTCATTCTGCTATGTTTCGTGTGGTCAGTGTAAATAACTGAAGACTCCTGATACTGAAAACAAGGTATTCGATCTTAGTACTCAGGGGTGAGAACGCATACCGCATTTAGATTCTTAATCGAGGACACATTTAGATGTCTATAGGCCACAACATGCACTTCCCATCAGGTGGAATATGTTTATTTTGTCACGCTTATTGTACAAACTAACAATATTTAAAGATAGAGAAATAGAAGAAAATATGAGAACCATTTTGATGCTCAAAGCTTGTGGCCTAAGTTGATCTTGATGAAGCAATACATTAAATAATTAATGGTATAAAATATCAATTATCAGAAATATAAGAATAATTTGGTTGTTTTCGATGAACGTCATAACTTCTTATATTAGTTGTTCCATTCCATACATTAGCTTTTATTATGCACTATAATGCGGGGAGTAAATGACGACTGGGGAATTCGTGTTCGTTTTTTTTAAATTGTAGTTATGTTCATGAATAAAATGTAAAGTAACAGTTTATTGAAACAGAATGTTGTGTTTTCGACGTCTTTTTTAATTTTAATACCGCTTCGTTTTGAAGAAAACTTCCACTGACGTGGGAAGAAACTATAAAATATACGCCAATGTTGCGTTAATGTGATGTAAAAACATCACTTAAATTATATTATTCAAAACATCGTTTCATTCTGGTTAAGCTTACTTGGAAGTCCGGAGATACTCTTAATGCAGTTTGATGGAGATTGAAAAAAATATTCATCATAACTATTCCTATTGTGGCTTGTCCCTAAACAGCCCGTATCGACCCTACGGTAAATAAAGAAATAATCCTGGAATAGTATTTGAGTTGGTAGCCTACCAAAACAAGTTTTTTCTTATCACTGGTCCTCTAACCAATGGCAGTTATTTCAGCAGGTTTTTAATATTGAGCACTTGAACTACAAAAAGCCAATATTAGTATTTTGAATAGTAAAGAGCATAAACTTAACATATAAAACACGCTATACAATTTTTTCTTTAGACCATAAAATTAGACGGCTGGATATGAGCCTCCAAAGATAATGGGTAGATTTGCCTTAATCACCACACTTCGCAGGTGAATTGGCGATCACAGTACCCAAAAGATATCTCATATCTTTGACGTTATTTCACGCCTACCGGTTTGGGTATTTTAAGGTCTGCTCTAAACGTTATATAGGTTCCTTCGATTGACATACCTGTATCAATTGAAGGCCATAACATCCCTCTGGTGATAACAGTAGCTATATTTTACCCTACCTGTTCATAGATTGTTTCAGCCGCCATGAAACGGTATTATTACATATATTTTCTTAATTTCGGGAGTAAAATTATTATTCACTTGCTAAGTTAAAGCTAGTTATTAAAGAATACATAGTAATTACCAGTAATGGCGTCTGCGGAGAAATTATAGATCCAATCCGTCCAAGAGATGAGCAAATTGCATGCATTGAATTTCTAGTGTAAGTAGGAAATAATTCAGATGTATACAAGTAGGTGATACTAAAATAAAAGGAGGACATCATTTTTCCTGTCATATATAAAAAAGTTGACAACGCAGGCAAATCTAAAAATAAATACAAAATTAGAATTATCAAGAAAAATTCAGTATTCGCATGTAAAAAATTGGAAGGATATAATATATATTATGGTCAAAACTTGTAACCGGCCAAAATCACTTACACTGTAAAAATCAGGCAAAAGAAGTTTAGATTTTGGACATTGGTCAATGCCACTATCAACTGAAAATATATTGGGTAGTAGTGATTTTGACCAAATTCATTCGGATAAAAGTGGTTTGGACCAATAATGTTAGTCCAAACTACATATTACATATACTTTTTGAATATTCAAAATTAAAAAGTCAATTCAAAAATTATTTTTTATATCACTACAATGTACGTGGCTTTAGGCTGGCCCAAGGGCCACCTTAGCCGCAAGGTAACCTACTATCACTGATATTGCGAGTTTTGACATATAGTCTGAAGTTTTAATCAGGCAAACCCATTTCTGACTAAAACATGAGTCAACACTGTTTTTTAACTAAGGGCCTCGGTCAAAACCATTTTGGCATGATTTTCGCAATCAAGTGGTTTTGACATGTTATGAGTTTTGACTGTAACATATATATCACTTATCGTCAAAAGTAACGTTTTGACTTACCCGAGGACACCAACGGCTGAGAAATGCAGAGTAATGCTGCAACAAAGAAACAGCATACTAGTGGCAGTTTCCGTTTAAAGTTTAGGAGTATATAACCAATTATGAAAATGCCTGGTATATCGACACTAGATAACAGTGCATAATTAATATATTTGTTGCCTTGTAATGATACAGAATTAATGGTTAATCCGTAATTAACAAAGGTCGAAGTTGTCCACCATACTAGACACACAAAGAATCTTATTCGTAACTGTTTAGATTTGAAAGTGCGTTTAATTATATTTAAAAATTCTGTTTCTTTATTATTTTGACATGAAAGTTTTTCAAGTGATTTTTTATCAATTTGTAGCTTATTTTTGTTGGCAGCATTTTCAAGTATTTTCACAGCTTTATCGTTTTGTCCTTTTATCAGTAACCAGCGCGGACTTTCATCTAATGCATATTTATAAAGGAAGAAAAAAATTGCCGGCGCGTATAATACTTGTAGTAATGTTCTCCAGTATGGAATAAGCCATGCCAAGAAGGAAATAATGAAACCTCCAAAAGTGTAACCAACACTGCACAGTAAAATAAATTTTATTCTATGAATTGTTGAAACCACTTCTGTAACTGAAGAAGATAAAATAAAACATATTAAACAAAATGACCATTATCTAATATTCACTCTCTCTTAACATTAACTCTAAAAATCAAGTGTTTGTTTTTATAAATTATTACTTACTCAAAATATATGCTGGAGAACATAAATCACCCAAAGAAGCTTCTAAGAATTCAAAAGCAACATACAACCAGTACCAAGGCGAAAAACTTCTAGCTAAACCAAACACCCCACCGAGTACACCAGTTACAATAAGCATCGTTGTTCTTCCAAACCTTAAAGTGAAAGGAAAATTGTCAATATATAATTATCTACGTAATTAAAATTCGAGACCCTCACACTCTTAAAATATCGACGAATGTTGGTAAAACAATGTTTTACTATTTATTTTACATCACTTTTCGTTTCAATATTTTCCGATGTGATTTGATTTTTAAATAAATCAAAATGTTTTAAATAAAATAAGAAATAATTCTGAGAGGTCAATTTGGATGGAATAGACAAGAAATTATAATAGGTGTACTGCCATGTTGTAGGGTTTTGTACAGCAGAGAATAAGAATAAAACTATTTTGATTTAAAAACACGAATTAATGTTTCAACACAACAAATCTTGATATCAATCAATCAATAAATCTAATGAGTTGTTATTGTATACCGTGTTTGTGAAAGCTCTTATAAACGAAGACAGACGATACATTTGACGATGGGTCAGAAACATAGATTGCTCATTTCACAACGTTTCATTAGATTTATTCATGTTAGTACGAGTATAGCTAAATTAAACGATCATTTCATAAACAAAAATCATGGAAATCTTAAACATAAAACCAACAGTGGAACTTGAAAATAAATAAATCACTTGACAATAGGATCAATATTATTCACGTGGACGCCGAATTTGCACGGCCCGAATGTAGCAGTCGTTTACAACATTTGTCTTAATACGTAACATATTTCTTTAACCTGCTATTTTTCCACTGTGCTAATCTCCACTTAGCCACTTTAATTCGAATTCAAAGGTTAAATAAACCAAATACCTGGTTCGATTCCCCGCTAATGAAAAATTTAATTAAAAGAAATTTTAACAAGCTTAGAGTCATGCTTTTTTAACCATCGTGTAGTTATGTTTATTATTCTGATGTATTCAGTTATGAACCTATTCAGACCAGTTCAGTACAAAGTTATTTATAAAAATCAAGTATGAAACAGTTTACCGATCTAAATCCTGCGTGGCCTTATGAGATGCGGCTCAAATTGTGCCCCATTAATTTCGGGGCAGATTTGGGCTTGGCGTTGCGTCTCCTTATGCAGGCGGGGCATCATTGTGGGTTCTTCGTCACGGTCCGCACGTAGTTTGTAAAAAATATCCACAATCCTTTGGCGCATTTTGTCAGCACTATCACACTCACGACTAAAATATTTCCTTTCACATATCCCCACAGAAAGAAGTCTAACGGGGTCAGATCTGGTGAGCAAGGTGGCCAAAAAGTGAGCGCATTTGGTTACGTTTTAACACCTTGTGTACTGTCCAGTTAGCAATACTTCGTATACCTAGGTTCGGATTGCGGCGAACAAAATCTAAAATGCACTCCTCGGAGTAAACAGCCACTTGACTTCCACCTCCTGCCGCTGCCGAGCAATGGGCCGATATTCCAACGCTCACTGAAATGCTGCTGTTATCAGACCAGAGTCAGCTGGGTGTCGAGTGGTCGGGAATTTCTCTCGGTAAATTCGTAATACACGCAAATCATTTTCGCGAGCTTCTCCAAGGCACATTAACATGTTACTGTATTCACGAGCACTATATACGTACACGTAGGCATTATTAAAACAAAGCACAAAACGTAAGAACAAGAACCATTACAACAAGTGTAAACAAGTAATAACAACAGGAATTCAATAATGCTGCGGCTACACTAACGAGCAACGTCAATGCCCATAAACGCAACAATTATTGCCTTAAATTTAACGCGATAAAATGAGTGGTTACACTTGAACGGTCAACGTCGTTTCCCGTTGAACGGCATTAAATTTGCCGTTGAACGGCGTTAAATTTGCCGTTGAACGGCGTAAAATGTTTCGACCGGGGAAGGACCACGCTCTCACAGAATACCAGCGTAAAATAGTAGCTTAATGCTGCTGTGTTTCTATAATATAAAAAATAAACAAATATAATATATAGTTAATAGTTTATAAAATAAAAAAAAAAACAAAGAAAAAAAGAATACAAAGAAAAAGAAAATGGTGGACTAATAAGCCAATCATAAATACTGGTCAAGTGCGAATTAGATACACGTACCCAGGGTTTCGTATTATATCTATGGTTTCGTACCACTGTACACTATGAATTTTGACCTGCAAAAATTGTTTTTTTTTTCTCCTGCTTATTTTTCTTGATTTCACACCGTAAATTAAAGTATACTTTTGAAGTATTTTTTTTTTAATTCAATCTCGAAAAGCTTTTTCATTACTCCACTCCATCGCAGTCATACGTGCAACCCCGTGGCACTCACCGTGCACAATGAGACAAACGTAGTGTGGCCGCTTCAACGCGATAATTCGCGCGTTAATCCTTTGATGTACCGCCATTCGAGTTATCGGGAAACGGCATTGTTAATGCCGTTGTCAAATTATCGCGATAATTCGTGGCCACACCTAGATGCAACGTCCATCAACGCGATAATTAACGGCATTTCTCCTTAGTGTGGCCGGGCCATAAGCAAAACCATTGAACTGTCGTTTACGCGTACCTACATAAAAGTCAACACGGAACAGTCTCAAAAAATATAATTAATATTCAATCCCGCCAAAACAAATGCCTACCGCTAAGTGTGTGCGTACTTGTGGTAAGCACTTTGATCATTTCCACAGATTAATAAACCGTTACGTCATTCCCAACTTTTATTTGATAAGTTTAGTTATCCCTACGACTAGTCTTCGTATGGAATTTATAAGTCATATCATTTATAATTCGTCTGGGGAACGAAGCCAGTACGGCTTTTATTCATCGATAAGTCCAAAACTCACTAAAACGTGCCGATGCACGTGAAAATGGGTTGTACGGTTTGCGTTTGATTGATAGAGCTTTTATAAATTATAGTGGTTAATACAATTGGATAATCAATTGTACTCTGCCGCTATAAGGAGTTCGTTGCTAAAAAATTATATTGAAATTAATAAACGTATCTAATTGGGTACCTACACAATTATAAACACTATTTCATCGTTATCTTTAATTTTTATGAGAAAATGGAAATGTAAATGGAATAAACGTAGTTTTACAAAAATAAGTGATATTCATTCTGTAAATACTAGGAAAAGACACAAGCTAGTAGTACCAGTTACTCGACTCCACCGAGTCAGTAATTCATTCTTGGGGCGATGATTTTACAACAAAATCCCAGAAAATATACAAAATTTGTCATACGCAAAGTTCAAAATTTTTATTAAACTAAGTTTGTATAAAAAGGGTTATTATAATATTAAGGAATTTATAGATGATAGTAACCCCTGAGAAGGGTGAACGCTACCAAGCTATTTCTAATTTGTCTTGTGTTGTTGATTGTAAACATGAATGTAAGCTATTATTTGAAAAAAATATATAGTCCCGCTGGGTTTCTTGTTGGTTCTTCCTATAACAGGTTTTTTTTGCGATCCAGTGGTAAATGAAAAAATTGACTTTCAATTAGTATTCTTTATAATCTACATTGAATAAAAAAGTTTCTGTTTCTGTTTTTGTTTCAAAGGTACTGGATAATTTAATAGTTTTAAAATCAATTGCAATTATGATCGAGAGTTAATTAATCTGTCAGAATTAATCTAAAATATAATTCTTTTGCTTTATTTTAATTGACTTTGGCGTTTTTAATCAGTGTAATACTTAGAATTTAAAAAGAGGTACGTCAAAACTATTAAAATCTACATGCAAGTTTTATTATGATTGCCGCCTCTAATTCTTATGTCAGCTGCAAATCTTGTAGGTAAATGAGACAATTTATTTTTTTATGCAGAAGGGCCCATCATAAAGTTCGATCGTATAGTATTACTAGTTTGCTCAGCAATGAGTGGCTGCGCCGGGCGCCGCGGGTTTGATCCCGCACGGAACAAGTATTTGTATGTCCTACAAATAATTGTTTCGGGTCTGGATGTGTGTCCTTGTGCAATTTATGTTTGTAAGCTGCCTGCGCGATACGGGAGAAAATCCTAGTGTGGGGTTAACGTTTTTATAAAAGAATTATAAAATAATAGTGAAGGGGTTGAAGAACGATAGACGATTAGCTTTATTTATTCTTTACATGCATTATAAACTGGAATAAATACCATTAATAAGAACTTAACTTATTTTAAAGTCAAAAGAGTTATAATCGATTAGTCTATGTTTTAAAATTGGGTTTGATTTTAAAGTTTAGCAAAATATGTACTTGCATTTCTATCAGACATTTGATGTATATAAAAAACACCTTATAATTTATTTGGTAATTTAATTATTTTTTGAGAAAGACAAGAACAATAGCAATAAATATAATTAACACTGACTTAAAAATATGTACTAATTATAACTTAGAACATAAATGAAAAACTCATGACGAGCAAAGTGGCTTAGGACCATGCTTTGCGGGAGTCTGTGGAGGAGGATGTTCAGTAGTGGACTTGTGAAGAGCTGTAATGATGATGATGATTCAAAATCTTGCACGATTAAATTATAAGAAAGCGACGTTTTTTTATAGGATAGCGTGACAAACGAGCACACAGTTCACCTGACGGTAAGTGCTTGCTGTGGCCCACAGACATCTACATCTATCCTCGATTACGAATCAAAATGCAGATGCGTTGTCACCCGTGAGGACTAAGACGAAATGCCTCGTTTCCTTTAAAAAGTGTCTCTGGTTCGCTACATTCACTATACGAAACACAGCATCATTAAGCTACTATTTTACATTGATATTCTGTGAGAGCGTGGTCCTTCCCCGGTCGAACCGACCCATTCGTGCTACAACTATACTTCTAATATAACTGCATGGTTCTACCACGTATAAACGACGTGCTTCATTTTTTTTCATTTTAAAATTGTTCTCGTAATAATCTGATTGTAAATAAATGTTCATTATTTTTTTATAAATAGCTTATCGATTAAAACAAATGTTTAAAAATAATTAAATCGCGCTAATTAAAGTAGTAGGAATGTTTAAAGTGGAAATTGCACTAAAAGGCTGGTAATTGAGTCATCCACCCTACAAAGCGCGAATATAAAATTTTAATCAGATGCGTGTAATCACTCTGGGAAATTGTAGCAAACTAATCTCGCTCCTAACGTGTGGACGCGGCGACCAAACTCTGCCAACAATCCTTTGGTCTTTTGTAAAAAACCGACACCACACGGATCTCGCGCCAACTTGCGGGCCATCGTTCCAATACATACCAATGAAGCCCAAACACCCCGTCTACACGTTGGCCAATACTATTGGCCACTACATTCGCCACTGTGTTGGCCAACGTGTAGAGGCGCCGTAAACGGAGTACTGAGAAATTAACAATAAAAATACGAATCTAACAATAAACTAAAAACAAACTCAAATTAATTTGTAGTAAATATTACCGGTTATCACCCGTATTATAAGTTAAAATAGTCACAGTCAAATAATTATAGTACATATAAAACAAAGCTGTAGGTATTCATAGCACCTTAAGATCGATGGAAAATCTTTTTACTATTTCCGCCCAAAATATAATGCCTATCAGGGCAAAAATATCGTATGAATTCTATTTTTGACACGTATTGATTGATTGTGAGTGTACATTCCAAAAACCATTAAAGTAATATGATTAAACCCAAGATTATTGAGGGATAACATATCTATTTATATTTATAATATCACCAACACAAGGTAAAAAATATGTTTTAAACTGGTTGTGTTACAAAAAACGAAATATAATGTAACTCTATTTATTTATTTTTTATTAATAGAATAAGGGTGACAAACGAGCACTCAGTCCACCTGCTGGTAACTGAATGCTGTGGCTGATAGACATTATGTATATCTTCAGTTAAGAATCAAAATGCAGATGCGCTGTCACCCCTGAGGACTGGAGTGGAATGCCTCGCTTCCAGTAAACAGAGTCTCCAGCTCTCTACACCTATGATAAGAAACACAGCTGCATTAAGATGCTATTTTAGCAGGTATTCTGTAAGAGCGTGGTCCTACCCCGGTCGAGCCAACCCATTCGTGCTGCAACCACAATGTAGTAGCAGCATGGCTCTACCACGTAAAATATTTTGCGATATTATTAGTGATATTATTTTATAAAGATTGTCGATACACAAACCAAAATATATAAAATAAAATACTACCTATTAAGTTTAGAAATAATAATTATGTTGGATGCAAGAACAATTATAAAAATAATTTGTGACATATTGACACAGCTTCTTTTATCAAATTTAAATTGAGTTACTCGGGTTCAATTCGAGTTACCCGAATTTCAAATCGAGTTAACTCGAGTCTAGTGTCTTTCGAGTTGACACGTACTACTACTACTCTAATACCTTTTTTAATATTACGTTACCAGAGCAAATGACATGAATACGAATGTCAAAACAACTCTTTTTTTTTCACATTTCTTGATTTCGTTTAGATTTTCAAAAAATCTTTAGGCTGTTTATAATAATAAATTGGTATCTTTTTTTCTGTAATACTATGAGGGTCATTAAAATTTCTAGTTGGACCAAAAACGATTGTCTCCTTTCGGTGCAACATGTGCAGAGCTGCCAACACCAATTTATCAAATTCCCTGAAAATCCATGTCAAATTCCCCAATTTAGGGACAAAACTTCAACAGATTCCCCACAAATTCTCGTCAATTTTATTTTGAGAAATAAAACAATTTTCAAACTTATTTTATAAGATTTATTTTTTACTAACATTTTTTATAAGCAATTAACTCCATGGACTACTTTTAATTCCTTCCCTTGTTGCCATTAAAATGTACCACAGCATCTGCATTTATATGCATGCGGTTCTCTGCTTTAAAATTACAAAAAATGAAGAAATGAAAAGCATTAAATTATACACAGAAGTTGCCAAAATAAATCTGAAAATTAAATGTGGTGCAATAAAGATAATTAAAGAAAGGGAGTCAATCTATATTCATAAGTAGCCTAACAAAAATATTAAGATAAGTAGGTAATGATTTCTTATATTTACGCGAACACTACACATTGAATTAATACTAGTTTTTACGGATTTTATCGCGTATATTTATTTAACTATAAATACCCGGCGTTTCGAGCGCTTTACAGCACCCATAGTCACGGGGGGACTGAGATGTTCAACGTCCAAATGTCATAGTTAACAGCAGTTACCATAGATAAAAATTTAACTTTTGTTCCGATCTACACAGTATGAACTTATGATATCTTGAAGTCTTGCAGTTGTATGCTTGGGTTGGGATTTAATTCTATTTATTATAGGATCCCAGCAGATGGTAGCACCCAGCCATCTTCTCTATTGAAATTAGGATGTTTTTTGATTTTAATAGTCTCGCGAATCATCCTTGGAAGGAATCGGTGTTCTTTAGCGAGGATTTGTGGTCTGTCAAATCTGATGTAGTGACCGGGGCGATTATGTACGTGTTCACAGACTGCAGACTTCCCGGAGCGTCGATTCGTCACATCAGCTATATGTGTGATGTGTATTTATAGTTAAATATACGCGATCAAATCCGTAAAAACTAGTATTAAGATAAATATTTAGACTTCTTGAGAAAAGTTTCTGACTTGGCCCGGGCTATTGATTTTCATACATAATGCGAGGTGACATGAGTCGGCCGGGTGGCACCAGTGCATGTGTGAAAGGGAAGGGTAGAGTGTAGTATAGGAATACCTAATGCATTGTTTCGTACCGAGCTGGATAAAAAAGTTTGTAATCCGCGCGAATATTGACCCTATTGTCAGTTGATTTATTCATTTTAAGTTCCACTGCTGATTTAATGTTTAAGAATTTTCATGTTTTTTAATGAAAGTATCGTTTCATTTAGCTGTACTAATACGTAGAGTAGAGTGTAGAGCGTAAATAAAGTTTATAAAGCACTGCGAAAAGATGATTTTTTTTTCATCGGTTCTATTTGTTTTCTGACCCATCATCAAAGGTATCGTAAATAATATCGTCTGTCTTCATTTTATGGAGCGTTTCGCAAATACTCGAAAGTATTTTTGCCACAAACGCTTACCTATCCGACATTGGTCCCACTATAAATAAACCAACCATATTTCCAAAACTGTGTACGGTGCCAACAAAAGTTCTCTTCCATTCTTGATTTGCAAGCTGAAACTGATGAATAATTTCTAGTTGAGTTTTGAAATTTTGAAGGTAATTAAGCGAACACTTTTCAATGAGCGTTATTACATTAGAGTTATTATTTATAGGCACACAGTAGCTATATTATGGTTATAGCACGAATGGGTCCACTTGGCCGGGTTATACCCAAGCTCTCACAGAATTTCAGTATAAATTCAGTATAAAGCAGCTTAATACTGCTGTGTTTCATATAGTGAGTAAGGAGAGAAGACCCTTTTTACTGAAAATGAGGCATTCTATCTTAGTACTCAGGGGTGAAAACGCATAGATCTGCATTTTGATTATTTATCGAGGATAAATGTAGATGTCTATGGACCACATCATCCACTTATAATCAGGTTGACATAGTCAACGATGCTAAGTATTCGTTACAAACCATAATAAAAAATGAGGTGATCATTACCACGCTTTTTTTGAAGGTTTTTTATTTTACTGTACAACATATTATATTGTATATTAATGTTTAAAAAATAATCCCGCTGGGTATCGTATTGGTTTTTCTCAGAACAGAACTTATTTTTAAGCCAGTGTTAAAAGCATAAATAACTTTCAATAATAAATACTTATAACCTATAATTAATAAAAATTATCCTATTCTGTTCTATTCTGGAGGGAAAATGGGAATTCTTCCACCGCGCGAGATTCTCAGCCCGGGGAATGGTCAAAGCTCCGTGTTGTAGGTACTACGGAGCTTTTTATACGTAATAAACCTAGGTATATGCTGAAGCGTCCAGACGTTTCGATAGCATGATTTAGGTTTCAGTAAAGGTTTGGTCCGTTTACGCTATTTTTGAGCGATGAAAGTGATCCCATAGGTTTAAAATTTTAATATTGTGCCTTAGAATCCATAATCGTGTTTCCGCCCGCGGCTGTCGATGTTTTATTGAAGTTAAACACATTCAGCAACACAATGAAACAAAATGCGACACAAAAAGAGACAAACATACATCCATAAGATTTATCCAGTGAGAGAATGAGATATAATATAATCCGCCATCCGACTACTGTCGTTACAACTATTTATACAAATGTCTGTGCATTACAGCTCACTAGTAGTAACGGAGGAGAATATAAGTAATATTAATAGTAGTATGTTTTTTAAATACAGTATTTCCTATTATCTCAGTCTTCTCTTTGTGCGGTGCTTTAAAGCACGTTATGATGGTTAATGTAAGTTCTAACTGTTAAAGGAAACAGTTTAAAAATTAACAAATTTATTTAAAAAATTATATTAACCATAATAAGTAAAATTATCAAACCTAATTCATTTATTAAAAATTCACGATTTCATAACTTCAGACCATCTACCGTCTATTTTACGTACCACCTAGAGAGTCAATCAATTTTTTTTTCGATACAATGCGTTCTTACCTACAGAAATAAGCTAAGAAAGATGGCGCTATAACAAAGCAATTTTACTCGAAAGAAAATAATATTTTGTTTTGATAATTAATATCTAGAAATAAGGATTGTTACGTTTTGTTGTATTTTATGCCGCACTTGTGGGTTTTTTTTATAGAATAGGGTGACAAACGAGCACACAGTCCACCTGATGGTAAGTGGTTGCTGTGGTCCATAGACATGTACATCTATCCTCGATTACGAATCAAAATGAAGATGCGTTGTCACCCGTGAGGACTAAGATGGAATGCTTCGTTTACTGCAAAAAGGGTTTCCGGTTCTGTACACTCACCATACTAAACAGAGCAGCATTAAGCTGCTATTTTACGCTGGTATTCTGTGAGAGCGTAGTCCTTCCCCGGTCGAGTCGACCCATTCGTGCTACAACGATAATATAGCTGCAGCATGGCTCTACCACGTTGAAAACTGGCGAAATAGTGTACATGAAATGTTTTAAGAAAAACTTAAAAATATTTAGTGTAGATGCTTATATAGAATAATGGATTGTGTAGAAGTTATTGATGAAAATAATAATAAAATGTTGTGTATGACATATTCGCAAATCTTTTCATATACGTGTCTTGAAAATAAGTTACTAGGCTATCATCCAAAATATTCAAATATATTTGTCACATATTCTTTTATGTTTCTAGTACATTTCAAGTTTTATTGTTATTGAAATTTATCGAGAAAATGTTTAGCAACGATAAAATTCACGCATTTTAGTTGTTGTAATGTTTATTTTTTATAACTTTATAGTCATAAATTAAACAAGATCACATCCACCAGATAATGGATTGTTAGTGGTCAGTGCAGTTTTAGAAAACCTGCCTTTAGTTTTTTTTTTAAATAAAAATCATTGAAGTCATGTGTACTACGTTCTTTAAGAGACGCCGAGATTTGCTTGTTTGTAACACGCTTTATAGACCACGAAATCAAACGTACTTACCACTGTGCCCTAAAAAGGTTCCATGTTTCTACTTCCGCGCGACTTACTCTGCCGCGCACAGATTTTGTTCACAGTGTGTGTTCTAGTATGTATTTCATATTACTACAATGGTTACAGTTACACTGCCAGCTCTGAGGTAATATAGCTGATGAATGATGAATATTACCTTTATATTGTTACGAGCTTGAGGTTCGTGACAAAAAAATTGCCGATAAAATTACCTAAAGTAACACTTTAATTTTCTTTACACACATTTAAACTTAAAACACTAATAATTAATCACACTGATTCACTTTATTTCGCTCCGAAGCTTCGCTTGTCTCGCCTAATTCAATACTTGCCCGATCGCGTATTGCAGCGCCTTTATATAGGGCTCTTCCACGAAAAAATCCAGAACATTCAAGTAAATACGCGCACCAATCGACAAAGCGCCGACAGTTCGAGAGTCAGCTTCCAGAAGCTTAGTTTTTCCTTTCGACAACAGATGGCGCTCTCGGTTGAAAGATTAGTGATGTCATTTTCTGGAAAGCTCTCCCCTCGCTCCGTTACTCGACACTAGATGGCGGTAGTGCCGTCGACTTAGGCGCGTAACACTTCCCCCCTCCTAATACATGCTCGTCCCGAGCATTATCGGCCCCCTAATAACGCGCCAGGCGATCCACATGGACGATCTTAGGAGTCCCTCTTGTGCCTTTCTGTAACGGCTCTGCAATGTCAAGGGCTGTCCTATCCCATGGTGCACCAACATTGTACAATTTCGGTGCTCCTCTACTACGTGTCTGAGGTCCCCTCACGGCCGCACAACTTGCACATGTACGACACAAAGCCTCGACATCGTCACGATAATGGACCCAGTAAAACTGTTCTCGGACCTTCAGCAGAGTTCGTTTAACTCCCAGATGGACTCTTGAACGACCATTATGGCACAGCTGTAGAACATTCGGCACTTTAGCTTTAGGGACAACCATTTGCAAACGACAGCTGTCTCCTCGACAATTGTCCCATTTATGGCACAGGACTCCATCCTGAATTTGCAAGCTGTCCCATTGGGCCCAATAGCTTTTCGAGGTTGAACTCATCGCTGAGACATCGCTCCACTTAGGCTTGGTAGCACGGGCCTTCATCCTTCGTTTTTTGGTGCTTCACTCGTTGCTGAGGTGGTCTGTCCTGAGCATCCTCACGGATACCACTTCCTTACTTTCTTGCCTAGTACAATGTTTCCGATCTTCAGGACAAGGTCTTCTTGACAATGCATCTGCGTTGCCATGAGATTTCCCTCTGCGATGTCTGATAGTAAAGTCGTATCCCGGCTGCTGCTGGGCGGTGATGCTAGCCGCACTTCCCCTCTGAGATCGTTCACCTTCCCTTTCTAGGGTTCGCTTAGGGCAGCTGGATCGAAAATGGCCCCTTTCCCCACAGTCATAGCACCTAGGGCTGTATCCTTTATTGTGTACGCGAACTGTAACTGCTGCAACCTCCCTAGCGCAAAGGTAACGACGATCCTGCCACCACCAGGCGGTGCCGTTAGCTGCACTACCCTCTCGAGTTCGATCAACTCCCCATTCTACAGTTCGCTTAGGGCAGCTGGAGCGAAGATGGCCCCTTTCACCACAGCCATAGCACCTAGGGCTGTATCCTTTGTTGCGGTCGTGTACCGTAGCTGCCGCAACCTCCCTGATGCGATGGGAACGATGATCCTGCCGCACGGCTTCCACCTCCAGTGCATGGGCCAAGGCGTCCTTAAGCGTCTCGTGGTGCCCGAGCCTCACAGCAGCTCTGACTTCCAGGTCGCGGATGCCGTCGATGAATGTCTGCACCAGGTTCCCTTCAATGAGCTCAGGTACATACCGTTATGCTTTCCGCACCAGCTTCTCCACCTCTAGAGCCCACTGTTGCAGGTTTTCGTTGATGCGCTGCACGCGATCTTTAAGCTGCGCACGAAAGACGTGTTCCAGGTGAGCGTCGCCATATCTCGCCTCCAATGCCTCAAGGAGTTGCTCATAAGTCACTTCCTCGCCGAGAGCTTCCAGAACTGTTAAGGCCTGGTCGCGCAGGCATAGTGTGAGAGCAGTCATGGCCTAACTTTTATTCCAGCCGTTTGCCTTCATAACAGCCTCGAACTGTATTTTGTAGGCTGACCAGGAAGAAGTCCCGTCGAACGGTGGCACTTTGAAACCACGTAGCGAAGGTGTAGTAGCTACTGCGGGAGCTGTAGTTCTATCCCCCAGTTTGAGGTCGTCCAGCGTTTTCTTCACGTCAGCCATCACGTAATCAACCCGATTGTTTACTTGGTCGATTTGGGTTTTAGCTTCCTTGATTTTGGTTTCAGCTTCCGACAGGCGGTTGTCATGTTGAGCAACCCTATCCTTCACCTCCCTAATCTCTTTTCCGAAGTTAGCGTGAATGTCCTTCACGAGGAGCATCTGCTCTTCCTGTCGGCGGGCCTGTTCCTCCTGTCGACGGGCCTGTTACTCCTGTCGGCGAGCCTGCTCCTGCAGCATCACCATCAGAGCACCTAAATTAGGTGCTGCAGATGTAGGAGCTACTGACAGGCCTGCAGCCGGCGGCTGGCCCTCCGAACTCTGCGGCGTTGCACCACTAAATCTTCTTTGGTCCGTCTCCTGCTGGCGTTGATTTCGGGTACGGACACCCTCCGTTTCCTCCTTAGGTAAAATCTGCATAAATTTTATCCCACTTCTGACAACAATTGTTACGAGCTTGAGGTTCGTGACAATAAAAATTGCCGAAGAAATTACCTAAATTAACACCTTAATTTTCTTTACACAAATTTAAACTTAAAACACTAATAATTAATCACACTGATTCACTTTATTTCGTTCCGAAGCTTCGCTTGTCTCGCCAAATTCAATACTTCCCCGATCGCGTATTGCAGGGCCTTTATATAGGGCTCTTCCACAAAAACATTCAGAACATTCAAGTAAATACGCGCACCAATCGACAAAGCGTCGAAAGTTCGAGAGTCAGCTTCCAGAAGCTTAGTTTTTTCTTTCGACAACAGATGGCACTGTCGGTTGAAAGATTAGTGACGCCATTTTCTGGAAAGCTCTCCCCTCTCTCCGTTACTCGACACTAGATGGCGCTAGTGCCGTCGACTTAGGCGCGTAACAATACAGATTAAATTAAAATACAAATACAGGTTAAATTGAAATTCAGTAGTGGGTGTTTAACAAGGTAGTAGGACTAAATAATGACATTATACTTACTTCTGCTACGAAGGAGTCCGGCTTATCATACACCCATTCGATACAATCACCGCTAGAGTTATCGCCAATGGAATATTTAGTACACCTGAAAAAGGTAAATAATACATTATAAGTGATTTCTTTCTCTATACATATAATACAAAAATCTTTCTAAAACTAATACGGATTTGAATGACCAGTCTTCTTCTTAATGTGTTTGCAAAAATCTACAGCTGTACATGAGTCTACCATTGTTGGGAGAAATGACAGTACAGTATTCGTACCCCGGTCTTGAACCACACCTTGGAGGTTAAATGGAGTTGTTAACGGGATAATAATAATGTTGAGAACGTTACTAGCATTCCTTTGAAAAAAGTAAAGAAAAGCAAGAAAAAGTCTTCGGCCGTGCTTCCTTTACGTTTTTACAACAAAATACATACAGATGAAATTATAGTAACAGTAAAAATATAAGCTCTTTGCTATTACTCATAAAAATCGACGTCAATGTAAGAAATTCTTGGTCACTGACGCTTTTCACTAAATGACGATAGAAAAAGACAGGTACACGTACAGATTGTACCGAATAGGACAAAGGAGATAAAATAAAGCATCCTGTTACAAGTATATATCTGATACAATTAATATAGATACAAATCGGTTGCATGTCTGCCTTTAAGCTCTGACAGCGCGCGACATGTTATACTCCCGTTCGCTCGGGACCGTAATGGCGGGAAAATTTGCAAATTAGCAAATTTTTTGCTATATTGCAAATTTTGCTCTATTTTCACTTTGAGACAATATTTATGGATAAAACTTACAGGAATTCTTGTTGAATGTATAAACTATCGAATAAAATTATTTTTGGTTGCTAGAAATTGTAATAAAATACGTAAATCACCCTGTATAGCATAGTAGTAGTATATACTTCAATTTTAGTGACAAAATTACTACTAATTTGAATTCTACACTTTTGTTTTTAGAGAAATTTATATGAAAATGTTTGGAAATATGTATATTTTTATGTTTTATATGTTTCCATTCGTTACTCATACCAAAATATTAAAATATTAAAAAAGGTAAAAAAAAAAACAATAATAATATTTTATCTGTGTGACATTTAGAACAATATTTCTAAAATAGTTTTGTGTGAATTTGAAATAAATACAACGTCAAGTTATTTGAAATATGTAAGAAAACTATTTTTACTTACATTTTACACTAAAAATAAATGAGAATTTGAAAAATAACACATTTATGACCCAACCGCCATAATGGGCCTTCCAGATTTTGAAGTACTTTTGGCAATTTACTTTTTACTTTTTATACCACAAATTATATATATACGTGTTCACTATATTACAAGGAATATAAAAAAGTATAATACTTTCGTTTTTAGTCCAGACACAAATATAAAATTCTATAAAAAAGACGGAGCACCTTCATCAAAACGACACGTGGAACGCCGAAAGTTCAGAGTGATTTCTTTTTTTTTTCTAAGAAACATTGCCAGGTTATGGTTTAAAATAAAAGAGCATATCTTTGTCTTTGATACTATTATCTATTGCATAGTGTCTTTGGTTTTGTTTAAAACGAAAAAATAGTTTTTTTTATAGGTACACAATTTTACATAATTCTGATCAAATTCGTGCTCTACTGAGCGAACGGGAGTAGGTATTGTACGATCTAAAGTGCGCATGGCTTGGTTAACGGGTAATTTTTGAACTCGTTGTAACGAATGTACACAAACACTACCATCACCACTACATCAGCTACGACAGTCCACTGCTGGACTTAGGCTTTCCCATTAATAGTAATGTGCAATTATTTATATATATTTAAAATTAACTGAGAGTAAGTATATACTATATACTAATATTATAAAGAAATCATGTTGTAGAATAATAGACTATATATTATTTATTACACAGATTCTGTAGGTATATACTCATAAATGAAAGCTTATATTAACTGTCTGCGACGCAGAAACAGATAATTGAAGCCTAAATTATGTCGACGATAGTTTTTGACATATCATTTTGAGGTAATCAATATGTAGTGCTTCATGAATTCTCTGATGGAGGCCGGTATCCCAATGTGATTCAATTATGAGACAAAAGCGGATGATTGTACGGCGGCGCTTTGATCAAAACTCTCACCATCATGATTAGAATATGTTATAACTATTTATCGATCGTACGTATTAATAAATAATGGACCCTAGCGCGTTATGATTTCAACTGAGAGGTCGCTAATTATTTCACGTGAATACCGGAATGCTGTAGTAGAACGAGATCCCACCGCGTGATTACTATGTCCATCTGTTTTAATGAAAATAGATTTTTTATAAAAAATTGTTAATTGAGAAATACGTTTTTTCTTGGTCGCCTGATAAAAATATCGTTTAAACCATTTCTCTGTCCCATAAGTCACATATGAACATTTCAATTGCTTAACTATGGTATCTATTTGGCGGACAGGGAAGTTGTTATATTTGGAAGAATTATTTGTAGAGTATCTAATTAGGAATTTTACAATAGGTATATAAGTTTCAAATAAATATATACTCTATGTCAATTGTACTATACCCACAACAAAGTGCAACCAATAAGTTAAAAAAAAATTTTGCGTATTCTAGTTATACGAGTATATATATTATATTTATATATATATATATATATATAAATATATATATATATATATATATATATATATATATATATATATATATATATATATATATATATATATATATATATATATATTAAATTTAATGAACTTTTTTGTGAGTGATTTCATGCACTGGTTTAAAAAATTTCAATAATATAAAAGTTTTGATTGCCACCATTTATTCGGCCATAACCTTTAGACAGCTAGGTGTAAACAGGTGTCTCTTTGTTGAAATAACACAACCACTACGGTTTTTTTAATAATAAATAATTTTAAAACATAAATATATTTATCTCTTTTACTTATGTCTTACTAACATAATAAATATGATTGCCAAATATTTGCAAGCGGATATCCCTGGAGTATTAATTTAATAAAAAATTTTTAAAAAAAATCGGTTCCGTCAGATAATATATATATATATATATATATATATATATATATATATATATATATATATATATATATATTAAATTTAATTAACTTTTTGTGAGTGATTTCATGCACTGGTTTAAAAAATTTCAATAATATAAAAGTTTTGATTGCCACTATTTATTCGGCCATAACCTTTAGACAGCTAGGTGTAAACAGGTGTCTCTTTGTTGAAATAACACAACCACTACGGTTTTTTGTTTTTAAATTTCTTCAATGTATCATAATATTTAAAATTAAAACTGAGGAACGAAATTGTTCACAAAAATCATTAAATATTCATCCATTTTGGTCCTCTGACAAAAAAATATATTTGCGTCCGAATTTTAAAAATCAACCCAGCAAAAGCGTATATCCTCTTTTAACAATATTCATAAAAAGTGTATTTTAAATTTTTTTAAAGAACATGCCGTAGTAGGTGTTAATCACGCGGTAGAATCTCGTAAAATAAGAGAAATTCACATCACAAACAAAGTTGTGATAACAACCGTAATTTTTTTTACTATTTACAATTATTTTATATATTTGAATGAAAATTTATATAATTGAGTATTTAGAATTTGACTATGGTCCTCCACTACTGATCGTATTAGGAAGCTCAACGTCACCCAGTGAACTATAAAGAGGACTATGATTGGAGTTTCTCTGCGTGTTAGTCTTTGTAATGGTATCCGCAGCAGAACCAAAACAAGTAACAAAGCCCAACAGATAACAACTATTTGTTTGTCAATCAAAATAATACTGCATCACTTTTCAGTATTAAATCGGTCTGCCTGATGGTTTCACGGTACATAGAATTATTATTTGGCAAATTAAAGCTAAAATTTCGACAGAATTAAAGAATTTTTCATAGTCCACATACGCAATACAAAGTGGCAAGTAGTATAATTCGGTCTTGTATACAATTTGCCGAAAGGTACGCGGTCTATAGTGCACGCCTTATCGGAAACCGGCTTATTTGGGAGACTGGAACTCGTCCAGTCTGCGTGCGAGAAGATTCGTAAATTAAATACATTCAAAAACTACTCATAAATGCGGCTCGGAAAATCGGTCTGTAGTTCTTCAAGAGAGCATCGTACACTCTCTAGAATATGACTACCGAACTTTTGCTCCACGCCTACGGAGTAGTGTCATCATGGAGTACGAAATTAAACATTGGTATACTTGGTGGATTAAAATCACGCCATGTGCCTGGTGGGTCTGACGGAACCGATTTTTTTAAAAAATTTTTTATTAAATTAATACCAGGGATATCCGCTTATTATTGGCAATCATATTTATTATGTTAGTAAGACATAAGTAAAAGAGATAAATATATTTATGTTTTAAAGTTATTTATTAATCAATTGAAAGAATTGCATTTTAAAGCTAACATAAAATAGACTCATTAGTATTTAATCAAAATCCTATGCTAAAAATAGAGATCAAAATCGTACGTTGGTTTATTTAATACACTGATAAATTCACTGGCTAACGATAATTATTCACTGCTCAGATTGATGACAATTTTCGCATAGAATGTTTGCGTGCTCCTTGCAAATGAGACTAGAACACATAATATAAATGTATTGTTGCGCGGCTAAGTTGACATCTGGCACTAGCGCCATCTAGTGTCGGGTAACGGAGCGAAAGGAGAGCTTTCCAGAAAATGACATCACTAATCTTTCAACCGACAGCGCCATCTGTTGTCGAAATAAAGAACTAAACTTTCTAGAAGCTCTACACTCGATCTTTCTGCGCTTGGTCGGTTGGAGCGCGTATTTACTCGAATATTCTGGAATATTCTGGATGTTTTCGTGGAAGAGCCCTATATAAAGGCGCTGCAATACGCGATCGGGGAAGTATTGAATTTGGCGAGACAAGTGAAGCTTCGGAGCGGAATAAAGTGAATCAGTGTGATTAATTATTAGTGTTTTAACTTTAATTAGTGTAAAGTGAATTGAAGTGTTAATTAAAGTGGTAATTCAATCGGCAGTTTTTAATCGTCACGAACCTCAAGCTCGTAAC